TGACCTCCCCAGTAAACCAACTATGCCCGCTCGCGCCGAGGCACAAACCACGTGGTTGACCAGCCCGCCAGGGCGATTCTATTACTTGATCGCCCGAAGAATGAGGGTTAGGCTGGCGGTATTTGGGTGAAGAGAACTTTTAGGATCAACATAAAGGGGCTCTTTTAGCTGTGATGCCGAGGGTCTATAGGAGATCCAGAATCTACGACCAAACCACCAGGTGCAGCCCGGCCCGAGGGCAGATGCAGCAGCCACCGTGTCGGTTGGCGACGTTATTGTCATGGCCGAATTAACTATCTCTTGCAAGACTAACGTGTCGGGGGCGGACCTCGGGTTTGAAGATCAACATTTACGGTTTTCATCTCTCTGTCCAGCCTTATGGGGTATTGAAATTGGGTCAGAAAGCGCGAGTAACTCCGCACTTTCACGACTCAGTCAAAACTGCCCATGTGCATTGTCAAAGTACGTTTTTGTGGACAGAAAACTTGCGATTATGAGGAATATCGACCTCCAGGACGGACAAGGCGGGCAGGTGGTAACATCCTTCCTACCAAGATCCCACAATAAGGACCAGACACTACCGGGCACCGTCCCTGCGGTAGAGGATGTGACCATCACAGATCAGTTGTTTGGTGCTAAACGGGATCTGAGAGTGATTGTGATCGGGGCTGGCGCATCTGGGCTCAATTTCTTCAAGAGGGCCGAAGAGCAGGCAGAAAACCTGGACATCGTGTGCTACGAAAAGAATGCCGATATTGGGGGCACTTGGCTGGAGAACCGTTATCCCGGTTGTGCTTGTGAGTCTGCAGAAGGTGTCATTACTTGATTCACTACTAATCGTTCGGAAAGGTGACATACCTTCCGTCGTCTACCAGTTCCCGTGGAGACCTGCTCGCTGGTCGCAATTCTGGTCCTATTCAGAGGAGATTTGGGGTTATCTCAAATTGGTAGAACAAGAGAACCGATTCATCGAAAAGTACGTCGAACTACAGCACCAGGTCGAGGCATTGTCGTGGAGTGATAAGAATGCGAAATGGACAGTGAGCGTTCATGATGTCCAACGTGATCTCCGATTCGAAGACCACGCTGATGTGGTTATCAATTGCACTGGAGTGCTAAGTAACTGGAAGTGGCCTGCCATCCCAGGGCTGCAGACGTTTCGGGGGACTCTACTCCATTCTGCCGCCTGGGACTCTTCGGTCAGCCTGAAGGGGAAGCGTGTCGCTCTCGTTGGTGCTGGTAGCAGCGCCGTGCAGATCTTACCGAGCATCTACGAAGACGTCGACAAAATCTACACATGGGTTCGCAGCAAAATCTGGATAACCGGAAATTTCAGCCAGACTTTTACGCGAGCCGACGGGTCTAACTATCAATATACGGACGAACAGCAGAAAATCTTTGATGACTCTAGTCATGACGAATATCTGGCGTACCGCAAGATGGTCGAGGAGCCATTCAACCGGCGCTTCGAGTTCATTGTCAACGGCAGCGAGGCGCAACAGAATACGTTTGATTATTGCAACGAACACATGAGGTCCAGCCTCCAAACAAGACCTGACCTCATCGAGAAGATTGTGCCCACCGACTTTTATGTTGGTTGCAGAAGGCCCACTCCCGGCTATGGATATCTTCAAAGCCTCTGCGCGTCGAAAACCACCACGTATACGGACAGCTTGAAGACCATCACCGAAAAAGGTTTCATTGACCCCGAAGGCAATGAGCAAGAAGTCGACGTTATCATCTGTGCTACCGGATTCGACACATCCTTCAAACCCCGGGTCCCACTTCTCGTCAATGGGGTGGACATGCGCCAGAAATGGGCCCAAGACCAGCATCCGCCGTCATACCTCAGTGTTGCTTTGGGAGGGGTGCCGAACTATCTGATATCTGGGGGTGCATACTTCCCTGTCGCCCACGGATCATTCTTTCCTCTCATCGACTCTTTCTGCAAATATGCCCTCAAGCTCATTGAGAAAATACAGGTCGACAACATTGCATGGGTGGCACCCAATGAAATGAAGACGAAGCAATTTCTGCGGCACGCCAACACCTTCCTTAAGCGAACGGCCTGGAATGGACCTTGCTCGTCATGGTTTAAGGGTGGGACTGTGGACGGTCAACCTGCGCTGTACCCCGGGTCACGGCTGAGCTTCATGAAGCTCGTCGAGAATGTCCGGTTCGAGGACTACGACATCGAGTACCTGGATCGAGAGAATCCTTTCGCTTTCCTCCGAAAGGGAAAGCATGTATGTGAGGAAGATGGAAGCGATGTCACGTGGTATTTGGGGTCGACCAGCGACCAGACCTTGAAAGATACCCTGCGAGAGCGAATGACGGCGCCAGAATCAGCGTGATTGGCACTGGTCTCGTCCGAAGGCCCCACAGGCTTGAGCATCCACTACTACGCAGAGGCCGGGCCTCACTTGACTACGAAATCGGAAGCGCTATTTTTGAGATGCTTATCCATAGGAATATTCATAGACTGTATACAAACCCATTCTCCAAACCGACGTAACAGTGTAAGAAGCCACACGCGACGAGGCGATTGCAGAGAATCTCCATAGAGCCAGAGAAGTCCGAATCTGCCAATCACCTGCCGCCGAGAAATTGTAGGTACAACCCCTTGGATAGTAAGCCGTAGCGAAACGGATCTTCTTGCCGAGTCTCGATGCGGGAAAGAACCTATAAGTCAGCAACGGGTTGAGTGCTAGTGCTCCCGAGGTAATGTTCAAGGCTGGTGGGACGACGAGGGACCCATTTAAGAGAGTGACCGGCATTCATGTCCCATCAGAAGGAGGCGGATATTATCTTGAAAACACAGCGTTTTGGCAAGTTCTCTGGCACCAGGTCAACCACAGTTCAGTAATCAGGTCACATCAAGCATCGAATTTGCACCATGGCCTCAGTAGAGGGCACAGGTTTCGACCTGTCTGAGAACTTCTATAATGTGATCAACGGGGAAAAGCGATCGAGCTCGCGAAAAAGTCATGGCACGAATCCATCCACCATGGAACAACTCCCAGAGGTCCCGATTGCATCCTCTCAAGATCTGGACGAGGCTGTCCGTGGTTCCAGGGCGGCATTTGCTGAATGGTCTGAAGTTCCGGTCGAGAAAAGAAAGGCATTAGTGAATGCGTTTGCCGATGCTTTGGAGGCACACTCTGAACAATTTGCTCGTTTGCTGACGCTCGAGCAAGGAAAACCGGTCAGTAGGGTCGTACCTGAGCCGTCACAATGTTTGCTGACAGGACCAGCTCTCCCTCGCCCAGGGAGAGATCAAGATAGGCGTCCTGCGAGTGCGAGAACTGTGCAACTTGGACTTGCCGGAGATGACCAGGCTCGAAGATGAGCGACGGAGAGCTATCTTGTCATATACCCCTCTTGGAATTTGTGCTTTGATTGTCCCTTGGAATTTCCCCATTTCCTTGGGCACTCAAAAAATAGCTTCAGCATTGGTGACTGGAAACACGGTCATCTTGAAGCCGTCCCCGTTTACCCCATACTGTGGCTTGAAGTTGGGCGAACTGGCTCAGCAGTTCTTCCCGCCCGGTGTTTTCCAGGTTCTCAACGGCGATGATGAACTGGGTCCTTGGATCACAGCTCACCCTGGGATTGATAAGATCAGTTTCACAGGATCAATTGCGACGGGAAAGAGGGTCATGCAGAATGCGAGTCGGACACTGAAGCGCGTGACGTTGGAGTTGTCAGTTTGGGCCCGGAGCTAGAAACGTCCCTGGACATTACTGACTGCTACAGAGGTGGCAATGACCCTTGCATTATCTGCGACGATGTCAACATTGAGGAAACGGTGGCCAAGGTAAGTACATCCAGATGCACGAGTTCTGCTGGCCAAAGTCTACCCTCCATGCCCTAATTCTGACGACGTTAGGTGGCTACTATGTCCTTCCTGAATTCGGGCCAGGTTTGTATTGCGGTCAAGCGAATTTATGTTCAAGAAAATATTTACGATCAATTCCTCGCCGCGTTCGTGGATCGTGTCAAGACTCTCCAGCTTGGGGATGGGTTCGAAGATGGAGTTTTCGTCGGGCCCCTCCAGAACAAGCAACAATACGAAATAGCACAAAGGCTTCTCTCAGATATTGAAAGCCAGAATCTGAAAGTTGCCCTGGGTGGTTCCGCCGTCAGCACCAGACCTGGCCTTTTCATCTCTCCGACGGTGGTGGATCGGCCGCCCGACACATCTGATCTGGTGACAGAAGAGCCTTTTGGTAAGCGTTCTGGTCATGCACAGGACAGTTCAACGCGGACAAGCACTGATATTTCTAAGCACCGATTGTACCCTTACTCTCCTGGAAGAATGAAGAGGAGGTTATCTCCCGAGCCAATGAGACTAACACAGGCCTCGGAGGCTCTGTCTGGTCCAAAGACATTGCCCGGGCCACGAGAATTGCGCGAAAATTACAAGTTGGAACGGCTTGGATTAACGAGCATGGGGCCCTCGACCCTCGTGTGCCATTCTCAGGCTTGAAGGAGAGTGGGTACGGAACAGAGTTAGGTATCGAAGGACTCAAAGCGTTCTGTAACAGCAAGGTGATTTTCGTTCCAAAGTAAAGGATTGGATGATCTGAAAAAAGCCTGGGAGCTCAGATAAGGGCTCCTGAGCTTGCTTGCCCTGACATTCAGGACGACGAGTTAAACATTGGGAGTCTTCAGTCTGCTCATCTCCAGCAATGAATTTGAAGTAGTAGAGTTCAGAACACCTTCATTCATGGTAACATCCTCAATTTTCAGAAAACTCTCAGAAAATCCTAGCTCTCTAAGCAGTCAGAAAGGCACCATCCGGGTGGACTTGTGCTATCTCCGCCGGACGGACGCCGTCAAGCCCTCGGCAATCGGTCGGATCAGGGTGACAGGTGACTATGGATGCCTGTATGACCATCTCGTGAAGTCGAGGCGCCTTCGCAGGTCAAACCTTATAAAGAGGCGTATCGCCGCGGTGTGTCACATGTGTTTGTCCTCGAGTCATTTCGTACCAAAACATGTCCTATCAGAAATCGTGGCTGGATTTGGAAGAGGCCTCGGGTGGTCGTTCCACGATTACCGGGACTCCAGCCGAAATCAAGGCGAGGAGTTTGGTGTTGAAGGCGTACCTAGAGCGCTCGATCCCCAAGCGAGCCGATGCTGTCAGGATAACGCATGGTGAGGTGGAAGGTGTCGGATATAGAATGTACCGACCTGCAGAAACAGAAAGGCCCACGAAGCCTCTACCCGTCGGAATCTGGGCACATGGTGGCGGCTGGATGACCGGCGACCTCGACAACGACGATCGCTTCTGTCGTATCGTTGCAGAGAATATCCCTTCGGTTGTCATCAGCGTTGACTATTGTTTGACGCCGGACTATCCCATGCCTCCTCAGCTCAACGACTGCTTGAAAGTCTACAGATGGGTACCGTGCGCCGCTCCTCGCAAGACCTATGGTATCTGACTCCTCGTCCAGGCTTATAGAAATGTGGGTACCTACGGAGGCGATGCTAATTGCTTTTACACCATCGGAGGATCAGCCGGGGCAGGTCTAGCTTTGCAGATGGCGAACAAGATCATAGATGATCCGGAGCTGCAGGCAAGTCTCGAAGGGGTCGCCGCCAGTAATCCGATCACGGCACACTTTGACAACGTGCCTGGGCAGTACCGATCCAGATACACTTCATACCAGGAGAATGAAAAGGGGACACCCATCCTTGACAAAGGATCGATGAAAATCTTCTACGAGCACGCCAAAGTCGACCCCCATGATTCGGACGTGTTTACCATCCTGGCAGAAGAGAATCACAAGCACTTCCCACCGACATACTTTGTCTCTTGTCAGTACGATCCTCTCCGTGATGATGCGACAATCACGGAACTGGCTCTCTGCAAGGCTGGTGTACCGACTCGACATGACTACTACGAAGGCATGCCTCATTTTTTCTGGTGAGTGGGCTTGCCTCTATTCGAGCACACATTTCCACACAGCTGACACTTGTCACAGGGCTTCCCCGGGTATTCCAGAAACAGAAGACTACACCCGAAATCTTCTTAATGGCATCCGGTGGTTCCTGTCCAAACATGAAGCGGCTGGAGCGGAAGGGTGGTAAGCACCACCCAGGTAGCCTCAGACGCTCATTTAGTCGTCCGCCGCTGTATTACCACAAGAAATGTGCCTGGAAACACTAAATCGCCGACTCATTTCGAGAGAACGCCGACTTACAAGGTTCAATGGTCTACGGCGAAAACTTTTCTCTTGTCTCAGTCCTCAGATCCGATATCGGGGCTACGCCCTGATTGACTAGGCTATGAGCTAAAGCGCCGGCCAATCACAAAATTTAAAGAATGTTGCGATAAACGAGTCCAAGGCTCGATACGTAAAAATAACTTATAGTATATATAGTATTAAGTTATTAAGATATAATTGTTACGGGTGCCAAGACGCCAAGGCACTAAAAAGTATATGTGTACAGCACGAGGTTACAGACCACCCCTTTGAAGCTCTTTAGCTTCGAAGTCGCTGTCGCACTGCGCCTATAGATAGGCAATATACTTCTTAGATAGCTCGCTGCCAAGCCATCCCTGACATTACGCATTTCACAAGGACGCGAACGCGTTTCTACCCTAAAACTACGTATTGGAGCTTAGACCCTTCTCGCGAAGGCGTTTTGCTTCGTAAAATAATGGGCCCTGCTCACTTATGGCAACTGAGCCAATGGGTCTGAGAACTGAGACAAGCTTTTCTCATGAACTTCGGCGATTGAGGACGTATCATATGTTGTCGATCGAGCAACGAAACAAGGTCCCGCTTTCGGGACAACTTCTTTTGTTCGAATCTGTCATTAGTAGCTTTAGCCTGATTGACTATGAGTCTTTCGACTCTTCCAAGACATAAGCTGCATAAAAGCCACTCAGTGCTGGAAGGAATCGACTCTTTGGTCGACTCCTTAAGGGTCTAAATAGCCGTCTCTCATTGGCTGTCTTTTGCCGGAACATGATTATTCCGCTTAGTAGATGTATTAAGGTTAACAACTAGTAACATCAATATGTCGAGGATTATAGTAATAGTCTACCCTAATTTAGACTATCTACTATAGTATAGCATTAGGAATCAATAATGAAAGGTGTGTCCCGCCAGCACTCAAGAATCGACTCCCCTTGGGTCCGATGCCCCCAGGAAATCGCTTGACAAGGCATCGAGTCTTACCAGCACTGCAGTCACCTGCCTGAAGCATGCCATACATGTGCCGAAGACTTATCTATTGCCGCCGAACAGCCATCGACTCTCCCGGACCGAGGCTTCCCAGCAGCCCTCACCAATCCTGTGAGACGCAACCCATGCAAGCCTCTCCGAGGCTGTCTTCTGCGACTGCACGGCCTTCTATCCTGCGTTGGACAATTAGAAATTTAGAATAATACCCAATTCACCAACGCGAGCGCAATCCGTCAGACAGAGGGTCGCAACAATGTCTGTCACCGTCAAGTATCGAGGACGGATCGCCATCATCACGTTGAATGTCCCGGCGAAGCTCAACGCCCTGACATCGGAAGGGTACTTCCTCCTCGCAGACTGCATGCGTAAAGTTGCCAACGACCCAGAAATCGTAGTTACAGCGTTGACCGGCCGTGGCCGACTGTTCTCGGCGTAAGTATTATGAGATCTTCAAGCACCTAGTAGCACCAGTCCGCTCCGGATTTGATGCTGCTGCCCCGAAGTGCGGCGACAAGAAGTCTATTGACAGAAGTTCAGTGGCGCAGATATTCAACGGACAGGGAATAGAAACACCGATGGCCAGCCTTCCACGCCACCGATACAACAAGAAGCACCACCCATGCAGAGTGCACCATTTCGCCAAACACAGCTGCGGAACCTCGCGCACATCATCGAAGTGACTGAGGCATTCTATACACACCCAAAGCTGCTTGTTACTGCTTTGAATGGTCCGTGCGTTGGCCTTTCAGCCGCCCTGGTCGCATACTCGGACTTCATATACGCCATGCCCCACGTCTACCTCTTCTGTCCCTTTACCAGTCTCGGTATTACCGCGGAAGGTGGCTCAACAGCCCTGTTCAGTCGGCGCATGGGCTTCAAATTCGCCGCTGAGGCACTGCTCATGTCGAAACGCATCCAGTGCGAGGAGCTGGTTCGATGTGGATTCATCAACGAGGTCTTCGACACTGGAAAAGACGCGGACCAATTTCTTGACAGAGTGCTTGTGGAAGTTGAGACGCGCCTGTTCTCAAAGCTCAATCCTTCCAGCATGCTACATGTGAAAGCTTTGATGAGGAAGCCAGAGATACCCCTATTTGCATCACAAACGGTTGAAGAGACCTTGGGAGTCGTTGATAGTCTCGCAAGGGCCGCGAAAACGGCAGACCGCGTGAAAGAGGGCAAGAAGGGTGCTCGGTTATGAGCATGACAGCCTGTTACCGGACCAATGCAGAGGCGTTACATGGGAGCCAGATGCAAGGTGGTGCAGAATCATGCTTGGTTGAGCATTGTCTGTTATGAGCATCACTGGCGAGATCTCTCCAGTCTGTGTGGTGACAATAAGCGGAATAAGTACGCTCAAGAGCATCTCATCCTGGTTATTATTGGGGATCAGCTCGAAATGGTCCGAGAAATCACTTCGAAGTGGTATACGCGGACTCGGGAGCACCCTTCGCGTAGGCCAGATTTTGGAGCCGAATAATGGAGGAATGTAGGCTTAGTCCAGGCAATGGCACAATAGTCTGTCCCATTCCTCTCGAATTATCTGTCGCTTTGTCGTCAGCCTTGCTGGACAGGCCATGACCAAGATGCTCTGACGGTAGTCGATATCGATCTACCATGGCTAATGTCGCATTCATCAAAGCGTGGAAGAAGCCGGCAGGGTCATGGAGGCTCGACAGAGTGCGCGTAACTCGGGAGCACATGGCTAGCTTCTCCAGCATGAGAGGATCATAGTTGGATGTCGTTTTCAGGTGGACGTAGAAGATGGTCATGGGGATCATCACGCAGCAGAGACTAGCTGCCCATTAGTTGGGTCACAATGTGGGAAACATCTTCGGATGTAGCAGATTGGAGCGCGTACCTTCCTGGAGGGAGAAAGGCGCAGAGAGCATGAGCCTCTAGGCTTTCCAAGATAGCGACAGTTGCAGCCACGGACTCACGAAGCGCCATGCGAGAGGCCTCGCGAAGTCTCATTGCCCACGAAGTAAGACCATCCTTATCCACAATCAAGGTGGCTTGGTATAATTCCGACCTAAAATACCTGTGTAAAAGTCAACAACCGCACCAAGAGACGTATATCGTGAAAGACAGGGAGCACTGAGGTGGCGGTTAACGTACTCGTAGGAGAGCATCGTGTAAGCATGTGCTATCTTGAAGGCTTTGAAGTCTGTCGAAGAGGATGAGTCGGGTGGCTCATAATCCAGTAGCTGTCTGTTGTCCTGCCTCCACTCATCTATTTTGAGCTCGACGTTTTCAACAGATAAATACTCGGGTGTAGATGGCGCAGGCTGGCTGTGCGTTTGGTTTGGAGTGTATAGTGCGGTCCGGTACACCAGCAACTTGCCAAGTTCAGCCGCGCGCATCTGAAGTTGGAAGATGGCCACGAACAGTCGATAGGTTTGTTGCTTGGTCTCCTTGCTGAGGTACCACGAAAAACTGCAGTCTTCCTGGAAATCGTCCACGGAGATCTTGGGGCAGAAGGGGAGTGACGAGTCGAACATTTCTGGCCTACTCGTTTTCTTGAGAGCGATCAGTAAACAGATAGCCCGAGACAGAAAACAAATGCACGCTCGCTTCCAGGCGAGCTGATCTGGATTGGAAGGAGTCGAACTCTGTTGAAAAGCATCGTTTTCGACCAGGAGGTCGTAAGCGGTTGTCACATAGCGTTCATTCTCGTAGTAACGATTTTCATAAGATCGATAGGTGCTTAGAAGCAAGCATATCTGCACCCTTCTCAACGGGTCATCTTCGCATCCAAGCTTTAATAGTAGCTTCCGGGCAGTCAGTGTTAGGCCAGATGAATGTGTGGTTTTCCTACTCACGGCGGCTCTGGAGTAAAACTCGCACGTTGCGGCAAAGGTGGTGTTGTACCCAGCCACTCTCTTCCCCTCGGCTGCTAAATACTGATGGATTGTCAGGTTTGCGGCTCCCAAGGTGATTCTCACAATACTTACTGGGGTGGTGACGAAAAGAACGGCATACAAGAGTGCCAAACTGATAGGCTTGGGATCTTCTTCAGTGAGGAGTTGATGAAATTCGCGTTCGTTGAGAACCGGGAGCCTGGCTTGCATGTGTGTGAAGTATAGCATAATCGAGGTTTGAATCTCGTCAGCGCTAGGGAGGACGAAAGCTCTCACTCGCACCAGCTTCGTGTGCCTACTATCATCCTTTGCATAGGACAGCGACCAGTCTCGAAGCCATAGATAGGGTGACTTGAAATGGCACGCAGTGTCCACCGGTGACGATGTCGTGACACAAGCACTGCTGGAAAAGTCGCCGTCATTGTTTGGCACGTGTTGTGCAGGGTGGAAAGGAGCTGAGTCGAGATAGAAGGGGTCGCCAGCATCAGACACATCCATGAATTGGCCAAAGATATCCTCGTCATTCACCATTGCGTCGAAAGATAATTCCATGCCATACTCTGGGCGCGCGTGAACGTCACCGAAAAATGGGGCAGACGATTTTGCATGAGAGCTGAGCGTGGATAGCTGTCGTGCCTGAGTCTCGTTGTTAACGACGTTTGGATCAAGGTTATGTATGAGATAGCATACTTCCTGTGTCGTGGCAATAGGGGCATTGTTGGGCATGATTGCGGTGCTGGTGTGATGTTGAACATCGACCGTCTCACCGGATGGCTTTTGCGACGAGCTCGAGTGACTTGGAGCGCTCGCGGAAAAGTTGTGGCTTGGGAGCATCTCGACCGGTCGGCTGGTATGCCTCGACCTGATTGAAGCTTAGGAATTTGAACCACATACATGCAAGTATTACGTACACACGAGGGGCAAGAACACAGTGCAAGTTATCTAATGTGCAGTTTGTGCATGGTTGAGGTGACCTGGAGGTGATATCGCAGCGTACTTTCCGACCACGACAGCTTAGACAGGCTCTGCTGGCTCTACCGCTGCGGGTGTGCGTCCTCTGCGGTGAATCCGCCATGGTGTAAGAGGGAGAGAGATTGAGAGAACAGCAGATCTGAAAGAGATCGAGAACTGGGGTAACAGTATGGGTCTTTGCCAAGGGCTCCAGGGCCCCCGGAGGTGTGGCGAGGAGAGAGGGGTGTGGCGAGGGTGGGAGGGGTGGGACTGATGACGCCTGATCCTAGGGATCAATAGATCGAGAAGAGTGGCTTCTTCTCTGTGGTATGAGAGCAGGTTTCCAAGACGTTGTTGGGAAGACTTCTCATCAAGCTGACGGTGGACGGTCCAACGGATGCGAAAAGTCTGCAAAGGAGCTGGAAGAATCAGTCCCACTTGCCTACTGCCAAAAAACTCCATGGCCACTAGACATTGAAACTTCCACCATCTGCCGTGCTAACAATACTAAAAGCTGGGTGACAAGAGGCCTCATCGGCCATGGCATCAACCATTACGCCTTAACAAACGTCGAAAAAGAGAACAGAGAATACGTCGGGCCGAGGGCCGAGGCCTGGAGGAAGCCGCCAAGCCTTGGTCGCCCCAGAATTCCTGAGAAACTCCGGGGGAGGAACTCTCGCGGCGGAGGTTTGTGTGGCCCAAACCTCCTCTCGAAAGCGGGGAAGCGCTTCGTACCGCTCACACACAGCGGAATCCGCCATCTACCATGATGTCGGTTCCGGTCATGTATCGACTCAATGGTGAGGATAGGAACAAAATCACGTCGGCAACCTGCACAAATGTCAGTCACATCAGGCTTTTCAAAGTCAAGATCGAGCCACAATCCTCACTTCATCAGGCTGCCCATAACGTGCCAGAGGGACTGTAGCCAGATATGCCTGCATGCCTGCAGATGGCCCTTCCGGTCGCCTGGTCATCGGTGTCTCAATAAACCTTTTATGGTCAGGATGCAGACGTTCGTCAGCGTGCCCACAGAGGTGTCTCACCCTGGACAGACGGCATTGATGCGTATCCCCTCCTTCCCATAATTGACCGCGTCCTACAAATGAGATTAGGATTCAGCCATCAGGCCAAAGGGTTGATGTGACTCACATTTCGAGTGATGCCTAGCACCGCATGCTTTGCAGTACCGTATGTTATGTTCGATCTCGCACACTTGTGGCCATAGATCGATGACATATTGACTATCGTGCCCCGGCTAGCCCTGTACCAATCACTGGTGTTAGACACACAATCTGGCCAGGGAAGCAAACGAAAAGATAACATGCCCCGGAGTGAGTCCTTCTTGCTTCAGCATGTGCTTAATTTGTTCTCGCTGGCAAAGCCACACTCCAACCATGTTGACATCTATACCAAACATGAATTGGTCTCGAGATGTGTCCACCGACGGTAGGAATGGGCCTGCCACCCCAGCGTTATTGACCGCATAGTCGATCCGGCCAAACCGTCGGATGGTAGCTTCATGAGCATCGATGATTGACTGCTCATCACTCGTGTCGATGTAGAGTACCTCCACCTCAACGTGCGGGTACTCGTCCCTGAGCCGTTGCGCAACTTTCTCCAGAGACGACAAGTTCATATCGCTGATCGCCAAGGAGGCTGCTCCGTATTTGGCGAATTGAAAAACGGCGGCCTCTCCGATGCCTAAAAATCTGCTTCTGAGACTCTGTTCGGGCATTCCACGCGGACACCAAGCTCACACATACCCTGACCGGCACCTGTAATGAATGCAACGCCTCCATTGAGTAGCCCGAGACCAGTTAATAGCATGTTCCCTCCTCACTTGGTTGATTGAGTCTTCGTTCAAGATCTGCTTTCCCAAGTCTGAAATACAAACCAGTGCTTTGACGACAACGTTTCGTGGCTCAGATGTCAGTCGTGTACGGCAGAATCGACAGTCTCCAGGGGCTTAATTAGTAGGACCACAGTATCTGGTTGTCTGCTGTGGTCACTCCAACGATACGTGGACACGAGGTCTCCGTTGGCCAAACGGGCCGCCGGCATAGATGCTGGACCTGCCCGGGCCGGGCTCTTGGGCCACAAAGCAGGCATGTACATAGTTGATGCAGAGCTTGTCTTACTTTGCTGATCTACGAGCAGGATACCTTTTGGCATGCGACAAATTTCTTCACTATGTATGACCTACAGCATGCACGTAATGAGATGCAAGACATTGTAATTGTTAAGCCCAAACATTGGCGAGCTAGGAATTCGACCTCCGGCTTTGTAATCCATCGCAGCCTCGGGCCAAGAGGAATACTATATTCGTGAGGGCAGAGTGACCCTAATACTCTAGTCGAGAGTCCCTTGTTATCAAGGTATTATCTTGGTCACCAGTTTACCGGTGTTGGATCCATCGAACAACTTCAACCAGGTCTTCGGTACGTCCTCAAACGTGGTTGGAACCACGTGTTCAAGCTCGTCATTGATTGTCAACTTCCCTTGTTCCAGGGCACGAATGAATATCTCCGTCACCTTTTGGGCTTTGTGCACATAGTCTGCGGCGATAAATCCCCTGATCTGCAATCTCATACTGATAACCTGGAAGTAGTCTGATGAAATTCAATTAGCTGTCAGGGCATTCCAGGCAAGCACGACCAAAGACTGGAGAAGTCATCTTACTCGTCAACAATGTGCCATGGTCGGAGTTGTATCCTGAAATTGATCCGCATGCAACAACAACTCCATTTTGCTTGAGTCGGCCCAGCATGGCGTCCAATATTGTACCCTGGAAATGTTAGCCCATGGATCAATGATACTGTAAACAAGTTAGGCCGAGAAAATCAACTCACCCCCACATTGTCAAAGTAGATATCGACACAGCCCTCTGTGGCTTTGGTAAGATCATCGAAGAAAGACGGGCTTCTGTAATTCAGGCACTTATCGGCACCTAATGTTTCGACCACAAACTTGCACTTGTCATCAGATCCGGCGATACCGATGACCTCGCCGACACCGATGATCTGTCGAGTGTTCTCAGTACATCTTGCCATGTCCCGCGAGGAAGTCCTAACCCTTTTTGCTATCTGCACTACCATACTACCCGTCGCGCCCGCGGCGCCACTAACAACGAGACGGTGGCTTGCTTTCGCCTCGCCGACCACCACGATGCCATAATAGGCAGTAAGGCCAGTCGTTCCAAAGACGCCAAGATAGTGTGAGAAGCTCAGGCCGTTGGGCAGAGGCGATAAAGCAGTGGCATCTTTGGCATCCAGGACAACATACTCATTCCAGTCCACGCGGGCCAGTATAGTTGTACCCTTGGGCAGAGCGTCACTCCTTGACTCGATGACTTCGCACAAACCACGCGACTGCATGGGCGTGTTGAGGTCGACCGGTTTTACGTAGTGACGATCGCTGGGGAGGTCATCGCTGGACTTGATCCAGGTACGCTGAGCAGGATCATTCGAGAAAAAAAGCACCTTGACGAGAATTTGCCCTTGCTGAAGTGGTTGCAGATCTCTCTCTATCAGCGTGAATGTAGGGTCAGGGCCGGAATACGTCGGAATCTCCTTGGGGCGATTTGATAAGATCCAAGTCCGCGTCCGTACCATGGTTGTTGGGTCGTAATCGTGTGAGGCAACTGGATGCTATGTTCAGAGTGTCGTGCTGCGGATGACTTCGTCACGATAAGACGTCAAATTTTTGCAATAGCGATTTTGCCAGACCTGACGAAAGATGGACCTTTGTGGTGACGGCTTTTTTTTTACATTATAGTTGCAAAAGGAACCATGTCCACCAAAATTGAGGTCGCCGTTGGATCACTACCGACTGGCTGTAAATGCTCCACCTCGCTAGTATATTACAAATAGCCTGAGCGAAACTAGAGATAATAGAGTAAAACACGTAGGCGTGAAAAAGCCATGGGCCGAGGTGATAGAGTCTATCAGCATAAGTCAAACGTGACTCGGCGATCAATGTCATTTTTGACAGGGTTGCAAGATAGCCACTGAGGCAAACCATCCTAAGACGCTAGCTATCACACCAACTGCGGCACTTGCCTCAACACCGTTGTTCTCACCGACCTGCGACAGCATGGCAACAGAATAGAAGGTTTCAGGAATGGCCTTCAGATTACAGGCCAAAGTGTATATAAACAGGCAGGGGACAGAACACAATCAGGCAGATAGATTCACTCTCATTCTGTGTATAACAGCTATTACCAACTCTGGCAGCAATGCCATCGGATAGCTTATCGACATATTAAGGATCCTACTGGGTCTCAACTAGGTTAAGGTTCCTAGTAGCAACTTGAGATAGTATGAACTGGATGTGAATCACGCAAGGTATGAACAGTCGATGTTTACTACATCGGCAAATTTTCCCGCGCGACTCTGAGAGCCCTAGGCTGCCCTGGGCTGTCAAGGTAAGTCTGCGTCTTACGCAGCCCATGAGACCGCTGGGCTCGCTGGGCTACTCTAAGAGAGCTCATGGGCTACTCTAAGAGGGCCCTAGACTAATATAATAATTTATAACTTTATGAATATATAATTATACTAGTCGTTTAAACTAGTACTAACTAAAATTACTATATTATATTAAAATTAAAGTAGATATATATAAAATATAAGATTTTAAACTAAATCTTAAATTATTAACTTAATAGCGTTAGTATTTATTAAGATAAAGACTTAGCGAGTTATTCGCTTTTAGTATAAATCTTATTTCCGAAATAGAAAAGATCTTTTTAAATTTAATAATATTATATAATAAGTATATTATAAAAGTTACTAAAAATAGATAGTCTATAAGAGCTTATAGTCTAGATATAAGAGCTATAAGCGACTATAGACTCTCTAAACTCCCTAGGTATATAAGAATACTATGAGTCGCGGGAAAAATTACTAATATATATCGTAACGAATATTTAAAGTTATAATACGATTTTAGATTATCTATAGCTAGTAAAGATTAATTTTAATATCGATTAAGATTCGAATATATAGAGCTATAAAAGTAATAAACGTTAGCGAGTTATACGCGTATCGCTATATAAACTAATGAAAGATACGGCTATCGATGAGAGTATTATCGGTATAATAACGGTAATTTTCTTAGAAGTTACTAATATACGGAGCGCTAGCGTAACGCTCGCGAATATAGTAGAAGACGAAGAATCTCTACTAGATATATTTAATAATTTCGCTAAAATATATTATAAGTCTAGCGAAGATCTAGCTAAGAAGAGAATAATGGTTAAATACTCGATTCTAATTATAAACGGCGAGACCGTATCTTATAAGCTTATTTATTTATTAAGCGCGAGAGAACTATAAGTTTTACGCGAGTATATCGACATTAGTCTAGCGAAAGAATAAATTAAGATAAGCGAATCGTCGGCGAGTACTTCGATTCTATTTATAGTAAGGAAGAATAGTAGTTTACGACTATATATCGACTACTGTGCGCTAAATAAGATAACGAGAAAGAATCGCTATTTACTATCGCTTATTTCTAAGATTCTTAATCGCCTAAGCGGCGCTAAAATATATATAAAGCTAAATCTTAAAGACATCTATTATTATATATCTATAGCGGAAGAGAATCGCTAAAAGACTACGTTTCGTACGCGCTATGAGCACTTCGAGTATAATATTATACTCTTTAGACTAATTAATACTTTAGCGTCGTTTTAGATCTATATTAATAAGGCGTTAAGAGAGCTACTAAATAATATATACGTCGTATTTATAGACGATATACTTATTTATAGCCGGGATAAAGAGAAGTATATAAGATACGTACGACTCGTACTTAAGAGACTACGATAGTATAAATTATATATTAAGTTATCTAAATATAAGTTCTACGCTAAGAAAGTTAACTTTCTTAGATTTCGCGTAAGAGTCGTAGATATATCGGTGAATTTTAGTAAAATATAAGTTATAACGAAGTGATTTATTCTAAAATCGTATCGAGAGATTTAGATCTTTCTAGATTTTATTAACTTCTACCGAGAGTTTATTTATAAATACTCGATGATAGTAGTATCTATGGAATATCGCCCTCTAAAGATTTATATTAAACCTTTAGTTACGTGATTAAATACGAAGTTTAAGTTCGTATTTAGACCTAAAGTCTATGAAATTACGTGACTAGTGCGATATTAATTTCGCACTCTATTAAATAATTAGTCGTGCTTACTAATATTAATTTAAAATCAATATTTTAAGGGTTTTAACTGTGGACACTTATTGTCTATATAAAGACCTTTATTCTCTCTAGGTAGATAGTTATCTTTAAGTTCTTTAATAGTCACTTACCTATCTATAAGGTTTACGATCTATATAAGCCTTACTATCTATACATTAGATAGTTCTCTAAGTTCTCCGAATAGTATCTATTATAGATCTCCTTACGAGTATAGTAGTGAATAAGAAAATAAGTTCTTTTATATAGATTTCCGAGACTAATAATATATTTTATACGCTAAAAGAGCGCTTTACGTAGATATCTATACTTACGTACTTCGATCTAAAAAAATAGTCTCGTATTAAGGTGAATATATTAAGCTAAGTGATTAAAGATATATTAATATAAGTATATAAGTCGCCTAGCGATCGTACGCTATAAAGGTTAGTAATGTTCTTCTCGCGGAAGATAACTTTTACGAAAAGAAACTATTATACGGGCGACGGCGAGATATTAGCTATTATATATATTTTTAAGAAGTAACGT